AACTTCATTAAAGGATTCATTGTTTTTCTTCTCAAAACCGGGTAGAGTTTCTTCTTCAACAGTGGCTTTTTAAGGTGACACGTCTTCAGCAGGGTCATTTGTTCTGTTGTTCACTTCGTTCCAACCATGCACCACCTTTGGCTTACCTCGCCGACCATACTTTATTCGGAAAGTCACGTCTGAGAGACGATCCACTATGTCATATGGGCCTTCCCATGGAGAAGACAACTTAGGAGACTTCCCTTTGGTCTTCCTTGGATTATACAACCACACCTTGTCTCCTGGTACAAAGCTGAGTTCAGTAGATCTCTTATCATAACATAGCATGGTGAATGTCATCCATTCTTTTAGATAACACTTCCACGAACTCTGGCACATTTTCAGGCAACTCTTCGTAAGGTGGGCTTCCTGTTATCAGGTCCACTGGCAACCGTAATTCCCGACCAAACATCAGCTTTGCTGGAGTGTATCCAGTGGCTTCATACTCTGCTGTTTTATAGGCCATCAACAGTGGAGGGAGTAAGACATCCCAGTCATCTTGGCGGCTATTACAAAACTTTGCCAATTCCTGTCCCAGTGTCCAGTTTTTTTACCATCCCACCAGACTGTGGGTGAAGTGGTGGTGTCCTGGTCTTTCGTATGCCAAACAAATTGCAGCATTCATGGAATACAGCTGATTCAATGTTACGACCTTGACCTTGAATGCAGTTCGTATGACATACCAAACTTGAAGAAGAAATCACTAATAGTCAAAGCTACAGTTGTAGCTTTCTGATTTGGTATTGCGTATGCCTCAGGCCACTTCGTGAAATAATCCATCACCACACAAAGGTACTTGTCTCCAGCACGAGTTTGGGGCAGTTGAACAGCAATGTCGACGGCTACTCTTTCCATTGGTGCACCAACTTGATATAACTTCACTGGAGCACGTTCCTTATGCTTGGGCCCCCTTTTAGCACAACATGTACTGCATGTCCTGCACTATTCTTCCACATCTTGGCTCAAACATCTCCAGTCAAATATCTGTCG